CTCCTCCAACCTCCTCCTCCTCCGCCTCCTCCTCCTCCTCCCTCCTCCTCCTCCCTCCTCCTCCTCTTCCTCCTCCTCATTCTCCTCCCATCGGGGACACACTCGTCTGGCTCTAGTTTCTCCAAGACGCTGGGGGGCGCGATCTGGTGGCCCCTCCCTCCGACACATCGCTCTGACCAGGGCCCCGAGGCGAATCCCGCGGTGGCGGCAAGCAGCCCCCCCAGAGGCCCCAAGAAGGGCAGAAGACGTGCACAAAACCTCAACCTTCGCGGGGAAGGGGAAAGTTACCGACACTGCTACTCGTTGCTCCCCAGACCTTTCCCAGGGTGCGTTCTGACTCGGATCTCGAGGTGAATCCAACAGGGGCGACGAGGACCGCCCACAAGGCCCGGGAGACGGAAGACGAGGCGAGGGTGTTGGTATCGGTACCCTAAGACGAAGCCAGGATGAAGGTAACATCGGGAGAAGATAAATCGAGAATCTGAGCTCGGGCGCCGCGGCCCTCTCAGAGCGTTCCGGAACGCCCTGAGAGCATTCCGGAATGCTCTTGGACGGATGTATCTCCGTCCTAGCCCCGTCCGATACCTTGCCCTCCGCTGAAATCGATGCTTCGCTCCGTGGTATCTCGGGGATCTTCTGACCAGGGTCCAATCTAGACCCGGGCCAGTCAGGCTCTGCAAGACCCGTCAAGATCCCGCAGGATCCTGCAGGATGCGCCCAAGCCGGGGTCAGTGCGCCCCTGGCTCCGCAGGATCCTGCAAGATCCGGCGCTGCGGCCGACTCCCGCTTGCACTGACCTTCGTCTCGAGGCTCGTGGGGCCCTGGCTTCGCACGTGGGGCGGCGTGAAGCCGCAGCTCCGTCGGCCACGGGCGGCAGCGGCCGAGGAGGCGAGCGAGAGGCCACGAGGGGTGAGCGAGAGCGAGGGCCTCGAGAGGGGATGAGGACGACGAGCAGGATATGGAGGTGCAGGAGGCTCGCACTGACCCCCGGCCTCCCCAGACCCCCGACGTCATGATTCTTTCAGCACGCGTCGCTGCTTTCTAATCGTGCTCATTTCTAATTGTGCTCGTTTCTAATCGTTCCTGGCCCCCTAGTGGCCAGGAAGAGGCCCAAGGTAGAACAATTAGGAATGAAAGGATCTTGGCCCCCCCCAAATCAAAGAACTTTCGAATAATTAGAAATGAACAACGTGTACGTCGACCCCTGGAGGTCTCGACCCATTCCCCTGGACCGGCTTTTCGTCCCGAGTCGCTTTTGGACGGCCACGAGGGCAGGCACGGGCAACCCAGAGGCCGAAAATAGCAAAAACCTCCAGTCATGATCTTTTCATTGCCCGAGGGGGTCTGGGTCTTGAGCCCCAGGGCCCCAACCCACCACGTCGTGATTTGCCATGACGTGAGCCTCAGAAGTCTGGACCCCTTCCCCGGGACCGGCTTGTCGCCCTGAGTCGCTCTGTGACCATCCCTGGGCCCGGGCAGGGCCCCCAGAGGCCGAAATTATAGCGTAAAACCTCTCGTCGCGATTTTGCTTCCCAGCGCGAGGAGATCTGGGTCCTGAGCCCCGAGTGACGTTGCAGCCTCTCCTCCTCCTCCTCCTCCTTCTCCTCCGCCCTGTCCTCCTCCATTCCTTCTCCTTATAAATAACATCTCACTGCCGCACCCCGCGACCAGTTTTAGGGCGGGCCGGGTGTTTCACCTGAGATTTCTTCTCCATTTTTATGACCCTGACGCTTAAAAATTGTGAACAGTTTCACAAATAAAGAACAGGTCGTTTTTTGAAAATGGGCTCTCGCCATAGCGCCGCGCATGCTCGTTTTCAAAATCTGCAAGAGTTTCACAGATTGAGGGCGGGTGGTTTTCAACATGTGGCTCTCGCCTGAGCGCCGCGCACATTTGTTTTCAAAATTTGCAGGAGCTTCACGGATTGAGGTCGGGGTGCTTTCAAAATGTGGCTCTAGCCTTAGCGCCGCGCACGTTTGTTTTCAAACATTGCATCAGCTTCACGGATTGAGGGCGGGTGGTTTTCAACACGTGGCTCTCGCCTTAGCGCCGCGCACGTTCGTTTTTTTAACTGACTGAGTTCGGGTCGTTTTCCGAATGTGGCTCCCGCCTTAGCACCGCGCACACTCGTTTCAAACATCACGGGTTGGGGGCGGTTCCTTTTCAAAATGTTGGTCTCGCCTTAGCGCCGCGCGCATTCTTGCTACAAGAAAGAATGAGTTTCACGGGTTCCCATGATCGACGTAACAGACATGGTGTTCTGGACGGGCTCACGATTTTGAGGGCGCAGCAGTTACGATGTTTCGCGGATTTGAGGTCCCAGGACGCCAGTCCTGGCACGATTCAGGATCGTCAAGAAGCTACAGGCAGGTTTATCCGTGGCCTTGGAATACCGAGATATATGTTTTGGTATGCTTCACGGTATTCACACGGTTGTCTTCCAACGAGGTTGGTCCCTGTGTGGAAGTGAACCGTCGTAGGGGCCTGTGAAACCAACATC